TTCATGGGCACAAGAGGTTTTGGTTGCTGTTTGTATCTACTTGGGTGTGGACAAATCCTAATTATTCTTGGCATTAAGTGCAGGCTCCTGAGCAAATGTACAACCATCTCAGCAGGGCTCCTTCTTTTTGGCATAGAACTTGTGCTTTGTTCCAGAAATCTTCTGCAAGTGGTGTTTGTATTCCTAACCTGTTGCAACTGTGGGTTGCTTGTTAAGACAAAAGTGATGAGAAAAGGCATTCTCCTCCCCTCTGGTTCTTTCCTTGAGGTTTTCTCCTCCACTTCCCAGACACAACCCTGCAAGATAGTGCTCTATTCTCTGCTTCTGCTTTATCAGCCCCAGGGGAAACCCTTGGTAAGTGTCTCCTTGGACAGGTCTGTGTTCCTCAGCAATTGATTCTCCTGCCTTGATTCTTAGTAAACAAAGGCACATTCACTCCTCTGGCCCCTTTCTCACACTGTCATTCCTCCCAAGCCTATACACTTGTAAATTTTTATACCAGCATCAATAGCCATGTCTCTCTTTCCTCTCTGTCCAAGAAGCAGGTACAGGTGATGATGATGCAGTTTTGCTTCAAGTTTTTCAAACACGTGAAGAAGTGCATGTTGTTCGTGCTGTCTCGAGCTGCATCCAGGAGAGGATTCAGCTGTGCTGCAGAAAATGTCTCAGGTCAACATGGGTACCGGTATCAACCTGCAGCCTGTACTCTCTATATAGATACAAGCAGTCGCTACAAATCCAAATGAGACTGGGACGTATGCAGTGTTTATAGTAGAAAGGCTGTATTAATTGAAATGACTCAGAGACCTAGTCTTTCTTGGCTACATTTTTGGTGATTCCTTACCTTTTTTGTGATGCTGTGCCCTTTATGGAAAGATTCAAGTGTAAGGACTTGTCGACCTGAACATCCAGGTGTATTTGCCATTGCTCCTAGAAATAATTCACTGTCTTTATATAAACTGAGTCTTTGGAGCTTTATCCATATAAGGATAAAGCTCCAAACGCTGGATTCAAACCCTAATCAGGTCATGAATGAAAATAGATTAGGTGAGGGGAAGACACTCAGATCTAACCAGTCTCTCTTATAACAGGACTTAAAGAAATCCTTCTGGATTCCCTGAGGAGCTCTCAGCTTTCACTAGATGTTGACTTAAGTACCTTGAAACCATCAGCTTTTCTGACTTTTTAACCTCTTTCCATCACAAAAGAGATCCTGTTTGCTTTCTTCTCCCTCCCTTTACCCATCCTTACTGACAGCAAAAAGCAACCCCACAGTTTGACTGTCTTTGTGCAGAGATCAGGGCTGAAATTATGCATGTACAGCAGGTTGTGGCTGAGATGTACAGGCTGTGGGGGAAGCCTGCACAACTCCTAAAGCACACGATGCTTTGCTGCAGCCCTTGCTATTAGTCACCTGCTTGGATGAGCAATAAACTCTCCAGAAGTTTTCAGGCTAAGGAAAGAGAAGTTATTGGGCTGGGACTCTCAGATCCAACAACAGGTGGGTGCAGCGTCATGTTGCTTGTAATTGTTCATAACAGTGGAATTCAAAATTAGCTCTTCTTCACATTCTCTGCCTTCTATCTCTGGATGGAAACAGGGTTGCTCAACTTTAAAAGTGGGACTACAGAAAATGAAGAGAGTTAGGTAAAAAAAATACAAGATTCTGGTTGTGTGTGGGCCAGGATGATCAATATATGATATATGGTTAGAAGCGTATCAGCAATGACACCTCGAAGATAGGGAAGGAGCTGAGGAAATGATGTGGTAACTTTGCTGAGGTGCAGGAGAGGAGGGAGGATTTAGATAAACAGAATGTGGGAAAAAGAGAAATCTATAAGTTATTCACTGAGATATTGGAGGCAAGTATGACAGTGGTATCACAAGATTGTGACAACATGTTGTCAATGTGTCAGTTATATCTCCTGGCTGTAAGTGCCAGTATGTGATGAGGTGAATGGTGCTAACTGCAGTGAGGTGCTGGGAGCCAACCATGGCCCAGGAGATGTATGGTTCTCAGCCCTGCTCTGGGGGAAGGAACAGCTGTCCATTCCTGTGAGACCTAATCATCATGTTTTTCTGCCTGAAATGGTAAGTTTGGCATATTAAATCACCAAGTTAGGTTCACCTTGGCAGGATGTTTTTCCCAATGATGTGTTGCTTATCCTGTATTATCTAATGAGATCAGCCAAAATCAGTGTGGTTGACAAATAACAAAAATGTTGATGAAGAGCTGAAAAACCTGTTCTGCATCAGACCTCCCAGGCATCCTTAGGCAGGAAGAAAGGGCAATCAATGTCAAGTATTTCCAGACCATTGTACTGAGAGCCATTGCTTCTTCACCTTTGAAGATCTCCAAACATATGAAAGCAGTGTTGTTACTTCCTCTATGTGAGAACTTTGTGAAATTGTGGTGTGTATGGTAAGAGCTTTTCAGACCCTTTTCTTACTTAAACAAGAACCTGACTCTGACTCTTGGCTGCAGTGATCAGATTCTTTACGAAGTCCTTTTGCTGATTCAGGTGACTCCTTTTACAGATTGGATGGGATGAGAGAGCCACAGCAATTCACCTTGTGATGAAGGAGAGATACCCAAGATGCTCTTGCTGTTACTCAAATGATTTTCTCCTCTTTTCATACTAAATTTTCTTAGCGGTTACCTATGAAAAGAGTCTGTACAATGCCATTTTTCTTCGTGCATGTCTCTTGTCTTTAGAATGAGAAAATAATGCTTTACTTTTGTTTCTAGCGCTATTGAGAAAGTTAATGGCATATGAAAGTGGAACATTAAGATTTTCTATTTCTTTATTTTTGCTGTAGCCCAGTGCAGATAAGAAAGGAGAAAAAGAGAGTGATACTGTGTGAATTGATTGGTATCGGTCAACCTTTAATTTTGTTTTCTTTGTAGTCTAGTAGCTAGAAAAGCCAGCTTACTTCTCTTTGGCTAATTATGAAGTGAATCTGATTCTATATAAATGATTATTTTTGAGTATATGTACATGGTGTGTGCAGTTGTAATGCTCACATCTTTACAGTAAGGCTGAGGATGTCTTTGCACAGTTACTGAGTGTTATTTGCCTAATTAGAAGGAAAAACAAAGGAAGCTATCAGCTGATGACTTACCCACTTCCTTCTGAAAACAAACCAAGAAAAGACCAACCAAGCAAGTAAAGGAAACATAGGTGCTGATGGCTGTAACATTCTCCTGTGTCCATTCATGCATAGGCAAGAAGAAGAAGTGTAGAGCTGGGGAGAATTATCCCATCCTTACTGAGGTGCACTTGCCAGTGCACTCCTGCACCACCTGAGGCTCAGCAGGAGCCTCCATTTCTTCATGTACTCCCTTTCCCCCCGCCCAGTTTAGTGGGATTACTTACCTGCTAATCTACAGTATTTATTTGTAGGTACCCAAGTCTCTTTTGTTCTCTGGGGTACAAGTAATAATAAAGAAAATTAATACAAAGGATGTTTCTCAGAGCGTTGATCATGCTGCTTACGACTATACTGCTTCTTGAGAAATAGGCTTAACCTACTTTTGCAGAGAAGTCAAAAGAAGATGGTAATGTAGCCACAGAACACATAAGAAACCAAGGGCAGTTGTTAGGGAATAATACAATGAAGCCCTCTCAACTGGCTAATGAGATCTTATGGTGTTTATGTAGGCAGAATTTTAATCATTTTGATCTTGGTCGCAGCCCCTGCCTTGCATCCTTCACCCCCATGTTTTCTTTTTATTGTTGTGTTCAAGAGCATCTCAAAATGCATTTCAATTAATTTGGTGAAAATTGGAATAAAGTAAAAATAACAGTTTTAAAAGGTAGCCAATTTGACACATCATAAACAGCTGGTTTGTCAGGCTTAACAATAGAATGTTGCTAAGACATCAGTGTGAAAGAAGACGCTGTGTATTAAGTTTCTGATGTGTGGATTCATGCTTACAGCTTTCAGAAACCCGACAGCTTTATAAAAAGCATTATAATTTCTGCAGAACAAAGAAAAAAATACTTCAATGCTCTTCTGTGTCAACAAAGAGTGATTTTCAATGCTTTCTCTCAATTCCTAAAAAAAATTTAAAAAAAAATTCCTTTCAAGAAAGCACTGGATTGTGACTAAATACTAGGCTAGACAGAGCTACTAGGAAATCAGCAGAAAAAAAAAAAGGGGTTTCTAGAACTGAGTTGAATTTATTATGATTACAAATTTCTCTAAATTAAAAAATAACACTTCTGGTTCTGAAATTATTCATGGCATGATGCTAATTCACTGAAAACTTCAGCTGTAAAACATCTGGTGGCTGTGCTACAGTGGTGTGGTGAAGGTGTGATATGTCTCCCCTTTATCTGGCTCGTTATGATTTAGAGCATTTGCAGGGCACTTAAGAAACTTCTAGCCATGTTGAACCTGTGCCTGCTGCTGGTCCTGTTATCCTTTGTGTAAACTATCCATAGAGTAGCTTCATCTGTGCAAACCAGACCCTCAGGAGAGGGACAGACCTGCTGACTATGTCAGTGATGGTTTCAATATTAAGATACAAGGTGCAACAACCCTAAAGGGAAGGGCTGAGGAGAGCCTTAAGTCAAAATACTGCCTAGCTCATCACCTCTGGTATTTGCCTGCACTGGGGCAGTCCCAGGAATGAATTCACTTTCTACCAGGCTTCCAGATTTAATGGACCTTATAGGTAATTGCGTGTAGAAGCGTGTACCACGTGTGCCCACCATGGCTGATGCTCTGATAGTGAACTGCCAAGTGGCAATGGGGGCTTGTTCACTCTGGCACAAGGGGGAAACTAACCTAGAACTATCACGACTTGGGTGATTTCCCCAAGCACTGAGCATCACTTCTGATGTTTTTTAGTTTACTACTGAGGTATAGAAGAAACTCAGGCCTTAATTTCCTTTTTTCTTTTTTTTCTTATGAGCACCCTCAAATTGAATGCATTGAATGGAACGTCTTGTCAAATTTACAATTTTTTATATGCCTGTAAAATCCTTTGATCTGATTTGAAGGAACCTGTCTCATCCTTATTGAGCTCTGTTTAAGAATGAGACCGACACATTTAATGCAATTTGATCTCCACCGGTGCCCTCAAATTATTATGGTTCACATGTTGAGCACTGAAGAATCACTCTGCTGTAGACCTGCATCAGCTCCATCTATCCATTTAGCAGAATGGAAATGTCAGAGCCTGCCAAGTCCATTACTGATTTTGAGATACTCCTGTGTCTTCAGCCGGTATTTTCTATAGAAGGGTGCAGTGTTGCCCTGAAATGGGCATTTACACATGGATTGTGGAACCCTGCGTCTCAGTTGAAGAGTATAATCTACTAACACCTGCCTGAACTGGGTGTTTCCTGGGTAATCAAGCAATTTCCATGTAAGTCATTTTGCAGTGTTAGTATTTTCTACTCTATAGACAAATGATATGAAGGACAGAGAATGCTGTAATTTAGCAGAGAGCGGTAATGGGTGAGATTTTCTGTGAACTGCATGTGCAGAGTGATTATTTGTAGGGGATCTCATTTTTTTCAGTATATTTTTCTAACGACTGAATGAAAAGCTGTTGAGTTGACGTGGTTTTGATTAGACTATGTAAATATTTATTTTACTCCAATTGAAAGAACAACTCAAATATCAGCATGTTTGCCTGGATTGATTTTTATTATTTCTGCTTTCTGGGGGAAACATAAATATCTGTGTTCCTTTGCTTCCCCTCCTTTATCCCTACCCAATATCTTCCTATCACTGTTGCTCTCTTTATTGTCCATTGTAGCTCATCACAGTGAATCTCAGTGTTTGATGATGATTAAAAAATATCTATGCTTTTTATTCTGGGCAGAGGAGACATTTGGTCGTTGCGGTTTTATGAGGTACCTACAGGAATATTTTAAAGAAAACATATATAATCCTAAGTTTATGGACGTTGTACTAAACTTCAACTCCTTCTTTTAACAGGCTGTGAAAGAAGAGACCTCTTTTGTAAATCCCAGTAAGACCTCCAGCCTGCAGGACCCTAATGTAAGGTCTGTTGCTTCTTGTCCGTAGGGAAATCAAATAAATACATGATTTAGTAAGCCATTTTCCAATCTTTATTGGACTCAAGAAGTCCATTTACTCATACCCAAGTTGCTGTGTAAAGTTCCTAAGTTCATCAAGCAATGACCCAAGGAGAAGATGTCTAACAGAAAGGGCCTTATCTTTTTCATGAGAATCAGATGTAGCTGAAGAATCAATAAAATCTCAATTCTAAAAGTCAAGATGAGTATCAATATTCAAACAATTGATAAGAGCAAGGTTAATAAAAAATCAAGTCTAGTGATTTTTTTAAGTATGGAAAAGCTTACGCAACAATGTCAATGTTTATAGGCTTTGGATTAGAGAAGTATTAAGCATCCAAGATAGAATATCTTTGTGTTTGTTTTTCTTTCTGACTTCTGCAGGTATTCTAGTTGAAAAGAATAAATAATAAAAATAAAAAAAAAGAGTCAAAATAGTGACTCATTTGCTTATGTCAGGCAGGAGTGACTACTTTGGATATTATGTTTTTTTCTATTTGTAGGGGATATCCATCTTCCTTCTTTGGATGGAGGGGGCTTATTTATTTTATTTAAATATTACTTGAATAGCACAGTGTGCTGTCTTTCAGTGGTTGATTAGAGTGGAGGTTACAGCAAAGGTATTTGGAAATTGCCCCCATCTAAATGTATGGTAGTGCCATCACTTTGGACATCGTTAGTGTCAGGTATGGATTTCTATCATTGCAATCATCACTGTTAATCAGCTGATTATGCTGATGCACATGCTGTATATATATGTTTATGTATATGTACTATATATCTCCAAGTACTAGTTATCTCATTTTTTAAAACTGTAAATTTCTAGTGTTGACTTTTGCAACTAAAAGGCATTTTAGCGTCCTATAGGAAAGGCTGAGTGAGCTAATGAATTACGTTTGACAAAATAAGTTATTTTGAACTCAGAACAAAATGGTGAAAATGTGCCAACCTTTTTTTTTCAAGTGTGTACCCTTCCTAGAAGGTGATAAATTAGCAAGTCTTCCAAAAACATTTCATTCAAAAATTGCTTTCTGATCAGTTTGTACTGGCAGAGATGCTACATTTGCGTAGTAAAAGCAGCTACAGAGAGAAGGATGGTGAGGATAGTTGGCAGTGCTGAGGCAGGAGGGTACACAAGAAGAACCTGGCAAGCAGTGATTTTCCTAATTGCTTGTCCACGGGTCTGCAAAGTCTAGTTGGTATTTCAAAACTCTCATTCTTCTCTACCACTGCCATTTTTAGGCCACTACAACGTTTTCTTAGATTCCCATGAGAAAATTATTTGTGTATGTTACGCAGTGACTTGTTCCTTTGTTTAATAGAAATGAGTTTCACTCATTGTCTTTACCATGAACACCTTTTGCTGAATTGCTGTCAGTTCCAGAAGAAGTTTGGGAGGACCTGGTTCGGATGACAACTAAAGATTTGTTTTCCTAACTGACCTTTGTTGACCTTCTGCATAACATAGAAGAGGAAGACCTTTCTATTTCCCATTTTGTGATAGATTCTCTTCTTCATCATACTGAGTTGTAAATGAGTTGTGTGCTGTGTGAGGTGATATACTATTCAGTGTAAGGAAGGTTGGCAACCTGGCTGCAAAGCTCATTTTGCTTTTTTCTTTTGCGTATATCCAAGTTTATGAGCTCATAACAACAACTCGGAAGGTCTCAGTATGCAGCAGTCTGGTGTAGACGTGTCTAATATTTGTATCTAGTTTATGTCAAGCATTATTTCCTCCACAGTCAGTTGTGACAAATGAAATTGTATTGTTTTATTGCTTTGCGCCTGTGTTCTGGAGGTGCAAATATACAAGTAATCAATGCTCAGAAACAGACTCATTTTAACAGCCTGCATTCATAATCTGAAGAATAATGCAAACAAAATACATTGCCTAACCAATTCTCTTTCTCATTCAATTGGCTCCCTGTTCTGCAAGGACATGCACGTGCCTGCATACAGCCAGTGTGTGTGACCTATTTGCCAACAATGTCCTATGTAATCTCTGTTTTGAAGACTTGGATAGACAAAAAAGAGACTGCTTTGCTAAGAATTGCATGCGAGTATGGGCAAGGGTCAGTTAGTACTAGCTAGACAAGTCACCTAGGAAGTTTTCAGTGCATTATTTGAGAAAGATATAAATATCCTTTGTAAAACAGCCCTCTTCAAGAAACATGATTTCCATGCAGGTACCCTTGAGGACATTCTTGTGTGTGTCTGTGCCTATAGACAACATCTGTGAAAATGTTGAATTCTTCATATAGAGAGGGAGCAGAACGTGAGGAAGAAGGGCAGTTTTGTTTGATTAAAAAATGATGCTCTCTTTGCTACTACCTTGTTCTCTCACCCATTGCCAGTCTAAAGATTCCACTTGTAATGATTTAACTGCTTAGATATGGCCTGCAATCCCCCTGAGCAATTATTTTAGCATCTGCCATGGCAAACTCAATTTGACTAACAATTGCCATAGTTCTTCATGGAATTAGTTCTGGTTCATCTAGCAATTACTCATGTATATGGGTGGAATAACCATTTTTGCTACAAGCAGGTCTCCAGTCATTTTGTTGGGCACTGCGTCAGAAGGGTGTAAAATGTTGTGCTTATGCTAAGCCATCGTGTATCTGTTGGCTTATTCACCCTTGTTCTGTGTCTGTTGGAAAGCTGCATATCCTTCCATACCAAGGTCATCACATATGGGCAGAAAAAGAAACATGCCTGATGTTGAAATGGCAGTAGTTTTACCAGTTTCAGGAGGACAAGGCTTATGAAATTCATTCTGTCAGTAGATGCACAGGCTGGAAATAGAACATGTATCTCCTAATTTTCCTTGTAATACCTAACATGTAGACATCACATTAAGGCTCAGGAAGATGTGGGTCCACAGAATGGTATAGTCCTCTCTCCTTCCTACTTCTGGAAGCTACTTGTTTTTATGGCTCTCTCCTTTGGAATTTTTTTTTTTTTTTTTTTTTTTTCCCCAAACTCTTCTAGTTGCTGGTTCCCATTCAGTGAGGGAAAAGCTGGTGGCTCAGTCAACCCAATACATGCTACAGTGTCCCAGCTTATGCCCTCTTCATTCTGCAATTGAGGCCAAAATAGCACACTATGAATTGAAACATAGTCATGCATCTCCTTTGCTGACTCTGCTGCTTTTTGCTTTGCTGATGAAAAGCAGGGCAGCAGATATGCCACAGCAGTGGCAGTGCTTTAGCTGGATCCATCCATGCTGCACATGACAGAACCCTCAGTTGAAAAAAGTCAAATGAGAGCAATGAATACGAGAGGAATTTCAAAAGGAGACTAAATAAGGGAGCTTTGAGTTATCTTGATAAGGCACAGAAATCCTGCTAAGAAAAGTTAGAATTGTCCTTGTTACAGGTCTGTTGCAACAGACTTGAAAGCACATGTTTTCATCAACACCCAAATAATACATAAAGTGAAATACAGCTGGAACATAAGAAATTTGAGCAAGGCAGAGCATTATGCCATGTTACATAAAAGAAAAAAATACCTGGAAAAACAGGTTATTTATTTATGCCCTTGCATATTTTATTTTATATACTGCCTATATCAATTCAGGAAGAAATTCAGCTAGCTTGCAATTACCACCTTGCATAGTGAGGAAGGTTTTCTTAGAGCAGGTTGCAAAAATATGCTTGTGTGAACACTGGTCTAGTATGGAATTAGCTGTGCCAGTCACTTTGCAGTTGGTTTTTTGTTTTTTTTTTTTTTAATAGTTCTTTTGAGATGTCTTGTATATGAGAGTTAAGTACAATCTCATTTTAATCCTTCAAGTCTGGAGCAAATTTGATGAGAAGTTGCAAATTAATGCTTCCTGCTCATGTTCTCTGGCTTCATTTACTCCATAGAACTGGGAAGGCTAAGAAGAAGCTGTGGTAGTTTTTGTATGCTCTTAGAAATTCGGCAATTTGGAAAAGTCGTTTAGAGAACAACACCCTATGGGAAGGGCCCAATGTGCAGCTCCCCAGGTGAAGGGAAGCAAGGATCCTGTCAGTCCCTTTCATGTACCAACACGAGGAATTTGTCTTCCATGAGAGCTAAAAAAGTCTTTCTGACAGAACATTTTCTTCTTTAGTTTCATGAGAGAAGGATCTGTCATTATATTGATTGGACCAGAAGGGATTTTGAGGAAGTATCAAAGGTATTGCCTTTCTGTTGGAAAATTCCCTGCACTCTGCCACCTAACTCAGTGTCCAGATTGAAGGAGAAGAGCTCAGGGAGAACTTTCTGATATCTAACGTAATTCAGGTCAGAGACTACTGCAGGTTCTTATGTATAGTTTTGGAAAGGTTCTTATCACCTTCCTCCATTTGGATTTTATTATTTGATTCTTTTAGCCTTGACTGATCAGGGTTCAGGCTGTCTGCCAGAAAGTTTGTATAATGTATCTAAATATTGCAGAAAATGTAAAAATTGTTGTCATGCACTTGATTGCTATCTCAGGTCACTCTTTCCTCCTGATCAGAGCCTGTCCCATCTTGTGAGATTTCTCAACTGCAACATTATCAAGGCAATGTGAATCACATAGTCACCTCTTCACCTTTTTATAAACCTCACCTACTTCATAGTGAAAGGATGGGCTGCTAGACAGATAACGTCCTGAACTTCCTTTTGATAAAATTTCTGCTTAATTGCCAGCCTACTTGATCTGTTAAATGCAATAAACATATGACTACTCACAGAACCTCATCAGGAGAATTCCTTTTGTGATTCCTCTCCTTGTTCAGTGTTTTGCCAGACAGAAGAACAATCCATACAACTTCCCCAATGTCTGTGCGTGAACCTCTCCCGAAAACTCTTTTAAGTATCTATTTTTCTGTCTGGCTATGACCACCTGGATACACCTATAGTGTGTATGTGTGAGTGTATATGCACACATTCATATACACTGAGATTGGCTATATTTAACTTAAAGGTCTACGTACCTCTTGTTTTGTTCTCTTCTTCAA